AGGGGTCCCTGGCTTTGAGGTAGAAGTGTTGGTGAGGCATGACTCTCAGGAGGGAATAACAAAAAAGGAGATCGTTGAGCCCAATATTTACCCCGAGGCGCCTATTGAGCTCTAAGACCCCCATAATTATTCAGAAAATATTAAGGCAACATTGCCCGGGGAAGAGGCGGAAGTGAGAAAGGAACTGCAGAAGTAAGGGGGTAAAGGAAACCTAATTCCTCCCTCTATTATGACCTTGGTATAAAAGGGCATGGCATCCTCGGCCCCGAGGGTAAAGGAGTGCACCACAGGATCATAATCCTCTACGTCTACGCACGGGGGAATGCCGTACTTGACCTTAAACCTATCAATCTGCTCATCACCCTTTACTTTATATTTCCCCGACCCCGAAGGACTAGCCTGAGGATTCTCGGGAGCAGGGCGACGACGAGGCATCTCTAAAAAAGTAAGAAAGAAGAGGGTATTTGTTCTTGAAAATCCCTGAGGAAGTTTTCCCGGGGGTTAAATCGCTATGTATCAAATCGGAGACACCTCCAGTTATCGGAAAACAAAAGGATAGGAGGAAGAAAAGAAGGAGGATTCTGAAACTCACCCGAATGTCAAAACGAAGTTTTTTCTGGAAAACCTTAAAGCGACTCCTTCCAGAAAGTTCAGAAGCAACGATGGGTCTGCTGGCTTTAAGACTTTAAGGAAGAATGGGCAATCGACGATGGAAGAAGAAACAAATCTCCGGCGAAGATTCAAGAAGAGGCTCTCTTGAGGAAGTTCGGAATGGCAAAACAAGGAAACCGGAAGAGGAGCCCCCTTTATATAGAGGCAATTTTCATCATTGGGCGCGAAAAACGAAACGGCGCATTTAATGCGCACGACATCCCAAGCCGGGGAAAGCGGCTCGAGACAATGATGAAGTACTGGTGGTTGTTGGGAAACCCTTCGTCTCCTTACGACGCGTGTCCTCGGTGTCAGAAGATCGAAGGCTGGGGGGCAGTTGATGGGACTTTTCTGAAATACTCCATGATGAAGACACGTGTCCTCGGTATTACCAAAACACTGTTGCTAAGATCAAGCACCATCGGCGCACAAAGGTCCTCGCCCCCGAGGTACTCGTCATATAGGATCATGGCATTCAGTACGAGTTACAACCAACACGTAGCCTCGGTCTGATATGGTACCTCGGTCGGTATACCTCCCTCGGTTCCGAGATGAGCCTTTCCTCGGTGCCGAGAGGTACCCCGTCCTGGACGCTTCCTCTACTCCAGGATAAGCTATTGACGTACAGGTCATTAGCCTAGGCTAGTCTAGGCTATTCATCATGACCTCGTCTTACACAATCAGTGTCAGAACGTACTGGAATACAGGGGTCACAGCCATTAAGAGATGGACGCGTGGCAAATGAGATCACATCGAAACAAAGAAAACGCATGCCGTTGCTGACACGCGACTTGGGAAAGCAAACAATTAATTGCACCATTCCCTTGATGAGACCGCATTCAATGCGGTAAGGCTCGGAAATGAAAGGCAATAAATGCTCTTATTACAGAACATTTATTGCATCCTCCCCGAGAGAAACACATTGTACCGTCGGCATCCCGATGACAAAGCATTGATTGCTCGGGACCCCGAGCATTTAAGAAGAGAAGACATTCCTCATCAGAATCAGTGCGCACACTGCCTGTACCTAATGATCACCTACTGACTACACTGACAGCAATCATGAGCTTTTGAGGTATAAATACTCCTTGCAAAAGGCAAGACGGGTATGCAACAACAAACTCTTTACTACAATACACACTCAGTGTTTTCTCCTTCCTCTCTCTCTCTCAAAGACTGACTAGATCGTCGGAGGGGATACGCCGAAAAACACTCCGGCGCCCTTCTAACTTGTTCTTCTTTGTTCCAGGAACCTCTTTCAGCCTTACAGGATCGTTCTTCCTTTCCCAGGGTCTCCTGTTGCCGTTCCAGGTTACCACCGTACCTTGCAGGCTGTCCCAAGCAGCGTGTTTGGTCACTCAACCGGCTCACTCGAGTTCACCAAGGGAGAGATATGTTCTCGTTTTTTATATTGTGCAGGATCTTGCACGCACAGAGAACATAATATTAAACTAATTTGAAGTACAATGCCCGCACAAATCTAAATACTATGTAATTAAAAAAAACTGTAACACTACAGAGTTGGTGATCTACCAAGAGAAATAGATGAAAATTCTTGTACAAAGTCATCCGAGATAATTGGAGAGAATACAGGAACACCAATGTGAGTCTTAGTCCCAATTTTCACGCCCAATGAAGTGATGGTATTGGTACACCAAGTTAGTCTTCCTAATTGGAAGCCAATATTTTCTTCTTTCACTCGTCAAATCATGATGACAAATTTGACATCAGGTTGAAAAAATGAGATAGTTGTTTTAATGTCCAAAGTTTGACTCGATGATAGAGACTGTTTTTAGTCCATAAGTAATGGATGAAAATCCAATCTAATATATTTTTTTCAAAAAATATTAAATAAATTTAAAAAAATTAACTTAAAAACTTGACTCGATAAATTACTATTATTGAATAGTTAGTGAGTTACAAAAAATATTAAAATTTATAGTTAAATTAATGACAAATATAATAGTAACATTATCAAATCAAGTTTTTAAGTATGTGTTGTAACAATGCTCTATTTTTTCTCTAATTTCTTTCTAAGTGGATTATCTATTACAATGTTTTTTGGTTTGATAGTCACGAGTGTCCGACCCAATTTATACACATCTCAATTAATTTTCTTCTTAGTAAAGTTAAAGGCAGATTATCCACGTCGAGACTCAAATATTCATGAAGAATAAATTTTTTATAACTTAACCCCAAATGATTACCATACATTTAAGTGATATTTATTCTATATAAATGGACCCCTCACTCGTTGGTGGATAATTCGTCAAGAAAAAAATTAGAAAAAAAATATATTAAATGGGATCTGAATCAGTCAAAGATAATCTAACCAGATCTACAATTTGGCCTTTTAAAAGGTCTCAAAATTCCGAGATGGAAGAAAAGAAACCTTCTCTCACTTCTTCAATGGCTACATGCCTAAGGTGTCTTAATTTCTTGATAATTATACCCTTAAAACTCTTGCCCTCAGCTAAAGATAGCAACCAGTTCATCTACCACGGCTTTCGTGAAGCCAAACTGTCTCTTGATGGGCAAGCTGTAATTCGTCCCAATGGTCTATTTGCAACTAACCAACACTTCACAGCCTCACCCTGGCCATGCTTTCTATCGAATTCCTGTGAAATTTAACTCATCCTCATCTGGGTCAGTTCAGTCTCTTTTATTTTCCACTTAATTTTGTCTTTGCCATTTTTCCTGAATTAGGAATGTTGAATGTCCACGGCTTTGCCTTCGATAATCTCACCATCTCTGAACTTCACCAAGCACGGCATGGCAAACCAGTTTTTGGGAATTTTCAGTTCTTCCAACAATGGCCTCTCCTCGAACCATTTGTCGTTGAGTTTGATACAGTGCAGACCCCTGGTTTTGAAGAGATCAATGGCAATCATGTGGGAATTGATGTAAACAGCCTAAAATCCATTTGTAGTTGCTCCTGCATCATGTTTTTCCAAAACAGAAGGGATCAACAAGAGCTTGGAACTTACTGAGTAAAACCCCAACGCGAGTTTGGATAGATTATGATGGAGTGAAGAAGATAAACATTATTACAGACTACAGTAGTGCTTCTATCAGGATCACAAAACCAAATCAACTTCTCTTGTCAACGTCCATTGATCTTTCTCCAGTTTTCTCCGACTGATCTATGTATGTTGGTTTCTCTGCAACTGCCTGAACATTAAACTTTTGGTAATCAACCACTATATTCTTGGGGTGGAGCTTCAACAAAACTGGGCCAGCACAAAGCCTAGAACTATCTAGACTTCCTCCAGTTCGGGGACCCAGAAAATCAAGATGAAAAGCGGGTCTAGAAGATGCAATCTCAGCCACAACAGTAGTGATTGTGCTGATAATTACACAAGGTAATATCTTGTCAAGACTTCCATGCGGCATATAATCGTAGACCAAGAGACGCTCTCCCTTTCTTCTGCAGTAGCCAAGGAGGGACACCAAGTTCCTGTGCCTCTGCCTTCCCATCCTGGCAATTTCAGCCACGAATTCCTTCATCCCTTGCCTTGAATCATGGTAGACTCTCTTGACTGCTACTTATGCATTAGAAGAAGGAAGTACTCCTCCGTAAACCTTGTTGATAAAAAAAAAACTTGTTATGCTTTTATTATCGGGAGTTATATATCAGTATTTAGTGTATTTTTTATCCTTAAAATATGCATTTTTTATCAGTTTGGTATTTAAAGTATTAATTTTGTCAATTTGATCCCTAAAATATTTAATTTGTGTCATTTTGATCTCTAATCAAATAATTTGTTATGTTTTTTGACGGAAGTGATCTCGTGTCATTTTTTTAGACGATATTACGTGTCCAATACATGATCATTTCATTAAAAAACTTAACAATCTGCCTATGTATGGATCATTTAAACACAAATTGAATACTTAAAGGACCAATTGACAAAATTAATACTTTAAGGATCAAATTGAAAAAAAAAATATATATTTTAAGGATCAAAAGTGTTATTAACTTTTTAGTCTAATTGTTAGTAATTCATCGATAACCAAGTGGGAGACAAGACTAATTCTTCAAGTAGTAGAGGAGTAGAGTTTTTAATAGTTTTAGTGGTACATTATGTAGCACATATAATGGGGTGTTATTGTATTATCATGAGTTATATTTGGTATCCAATGTATATCCTATGTAATCTATCCATTTGGGTAAGAGTGAATTGAAAGAGTTTTTGCTTTCTTCTACCTAAATCTCTTCCATTAACTTTGTGTGAGTAATATAGTCCTCTTGATTTCAACAAACCTGTCCAAAATCTCCTCTTCCAAGAAGCTCTTTGTGGGTGAATGCATTAGTTGCTCTGTAGATTATTCTTGTAGGAGAACCTCTAAGGTTTATATTCTGCTCACACAAAGTTAATGGAAGAGATTTAGATGAAAGAAAGCAAAATCTCTTTCAATTTACTCAGGCCCAAATGGATAGAATATCTGTGCCACATAATGTAACCACTAAAACTACAAAAACTCTACTCCTCAACTACTTGAAGAATTAACCCACCACTATTACTTTTGTTTCCCACTACTTGGTTATTGATGATCTACTAACAATTAGACTAAATACTACAATATAACTCTCAAATAATAAAAATAATAAAAGTTTATTTTTTCTCAACAAGGTTATAGAGGAGTACTTTCTTCTTCCAATGCACAAGTAGTAATCAAGAGAGTCTCTCGTGATCCGAAGCAAGTGATGAAGGAATTCGTGGCTGAAATTTCCAGCATGAGAAGGCTGAGGCATAGGAACTTGGTTGCCTTCCTTGGCTACTGTAGAAGAAAGGGAGAGCATCTATTGGTCTATGATAATATGCCGCATGGAAGTCTTGACAAGTGTTTACACGACAACGAAGACATAATCCTTAATCAGGCTCAACGCCATCGAAATCATTAGAAGGATTGCATCAGGCCATCTATATCTACATGAAGGGTAGGAAAAAGTTGTTCTTTACAGTGATTTCATCATGTCAAGGCCAGTAATATGTCCTCCTGGATGTCAATTTTAATGGCCAGCTAGGAGACTTCGGGCTTGCAAGACTGTATGATCAACTACCCATGTCGTTGGAACTTTTGGATATCTTGCACTAGAGCTTGCCAGAATTGGATATGCTCAAAGTGGCTCGTGGTAAGAAACTAGTAAAGCTCAGTGGATTGCCGGATGACGTGAATTTAGTTGAGTGGGTTCTGGAGAAATGAAATAAACGAGCAACCCTTGAGGCAAGTTATCCGAGATTGGGAGGTGATTTTGGGCTGAAAAAAATGAAGTTGGTTTTGAAATTGGGTTTGCTTTGCTCGCACAATAACCTAGTGTCCAGGCCTAGCATGAGGCAAGTGATGCAGCATTTAGATGGGGATGCCATCTTGCCAGAAGTTTTGTTGGATGTTGTAGATGTTGGCATGGCTGCATTATTGGGGAATGGATTGTCAAATGAATTTGTAATGACATTCCCTTCGTCCCCATTGAGAAGTTCTTCTATTAATGCCGTGTCTGGTACTGAGTCACTCCTCTATATGGGATGTTAAAGTGGAATAAGTTTCAAGTAATACTTAAAATCTCAAATATTATTCCAAATTTTGCATTCCAAATACACATGGGATCGGTGGGTCCCAAATGCATAGGCATTCCACCCTATTGCTAATTCCTTGATGTAAGTCATATGTTTTGAATTAACACACCCAAAAGAAAGTTTTTGCCCTTTGATAAATATTCAATCACTAACTAATATTTATGCCTGAAAGCACTGTGTACTACAAAAAATAAAAAATAAAAAATAAAAAATCGCCAATTAGAGTAGCTATTATCTACAAATACTCATATAGAGAAGGGTAAAGTATACTTTATCCCATTGAACATTCACTTTTATTTTATTTTACACCTTGAATTATAAAATTTCTTATATTACACTCTAAAGTATCAATTTTATTTTATATTACTCTAATAGATAACAATTAAAAATCAAGAAAAATATCCATCCATAACTTCGTCCTTCTTAAACTCAAAATTTTCTTTCTCTGACCGACATTCTTTTTTTTCTCAGCAACCATTTGATTGCAAAAAAAGTAAAATAAAGTGGTACTAGGCACTTGAAAATCTTCTCTGTTGATAGATTTTCAAGTTTTCCCTTTTAATCCGTCAAAAAATTAACATTTGTTATCTATTAGAATGATATGAAACAAAACTAATACTTTAGGATACAATGTGAAAAATTTTATAGTTAATGACACAAAGTGAAATAAATGTGATAGTTTAAGGGGGTAAAGTATAATTTACTCTATAGAAAAAGAGGGGATAAATACTTAAAGAATTGAAAATTCAAGTTTTAATTTGATATATATTTAATTTTTGGGCCAAATAAATTTTGAAAAAATTTGACAAAATTTTCTCTAAAAGAAAGGCCCCAAAAACAATTTTGAACACATATACACAATTTATATATTTTATAACTATAAAATGATAGTAATTGGTGTAGACATGTTTAGTTTTAATAAAACTTTGTATTATAAAAACAATATCAGAACCAATTACTATTCTCATCATCGCACCACAGTTCTGCTTTAGCACGACAGTTAACCAACTACTGCAACAACATACCAGTGCCATAAACACAATAGCATTTATAACTAAAAAAATAGTACCATAAGCACAATGATGAAGGCTTTTCTCATTTCAACAAAGTTGACCTACTGAATTTGAGCGATGGAGAACAGCGAGTGAACAAATTGTTATGCCCCATGCCCTATTGTTATCACTATTCCTGATGATGTAATTAATACGATTGAGTTGTAGAATGAATGTAAATTGTACGGAATAGTTAAATTTAGTTTAGTTTGAGCTCTAAAGCTCTTGGGAATAAGATTTGAGAAAGAGATTATCAAACAGAGTGTTTATAGTGATTCACTAGTTCAAAAGTTATACTAATCCACCTTCAAGAGAGTCTCTTGCTCTTGATAATATATTGATATTTGGAGAATTTACAGGGAGTATTTTAGTGTGGCTACAATTGCTTGTCGTTTCTGTCAAGGACTTTGTGTCCTATTTATAGTTATCACTGTGTCTAGTTTGATCTGAGGCGAGATCCTTACCCCTCTCTTGTAACAATCGCCTTTATTGCGCAACGGTTGCAGTGGGTGTTGGGGCGGTTACGAGATTTGCTTATGCTAAGTAATTGTTGCTACAAAATGGGTATTTTGTAGGATCCAGTTGTCCTCTGCACAATCTTTCTCGAGATGTACACACAAGGAGTTTGAGGTCTGAAATTGAAGTCTACAAATAAAATAAATGAGCTGAGCTCCTGACCTAGGTAAACATGACCTGCGTTTTCGAATTTAACCTTGAGCATTTTCGTGGTATCATCAACCCCAAATTAATTTATTTTCAGTGATAAATAAATTAACTCAATTAAAGGACATGATTGTATGGTCAAACCCAAAATCATTAAGCAAAGCAATATAAGTTGGTAGCATTCTTCAAAGCCACTGCATTCTCGAAATCAAATCTCACCTAATTAGAATAAAAATCCCATGGAATCCACAAAGTTATAATCTCACATAATATACATTTTTTGTACTTTAATTGAAGGTTGAAAACAAATATTTATCTATGATGGGTCGATTTCAAAAGAAAAAAAAAAGAGCTTTGATTCGTTTTGTATAAATGAATAATTTACACTTCCATTACGCCTGCAAAATTACAATCTTAATAAATATACTTGGCTAGTTTTATGAATTCAAATTAAGAACAGAAGTCGATATAAATAAATAATTCAAATAGAAAGAAATAATCAATTTTGATGTGAACTTCAATTTGAATTAGGAACTTATACAGATTCCAACAGCTTAGTTCTCACCATTACCATCATGGCTCGACAAAGATATGGCTTCTTTCTATGCCTCTTAGTGCAGCCCATCAAACATTAGTCTATGAAAAAAAACCATCAAACAGAAGGTTCAAATTCAATTTTTTTCACTCTATCTCAGAGTATCCATTCACTCGAAATTGCTCTGGTACAAGACCGGCTTAGGCAACTATTTGACTGCAAGGCCATTCTACCTTGAGTTATTGACTCTGGCCAAACAAAAATCACTAAGAGCTAAAGCACAGTGTTTAAGCAAACAAAATCCACCTCTTTGTGCTGTGGTAGAAGCAAAAAACCTATGCATGACTAACAAACGCATACGCACACATCCCCAACATAAATCATTTTAATTCCAAAAGCAGCTAGCAATTCAACCAATTAAGGCAACAGATAAACCCTTAAAAAAAATTTACAAAATTAACGGAAAATTAATTGAAGATCAAATTTTTGGAATCAAAATAAGTTAGGTGATTTGGATGTGTTTATAGACAGCCTATTACGACGTCGGTGAGAAAGAGTGATACGATAATTATTGAAGGTAAACGTAAGTGTATAGGAAGATCAAAAATTATCTTTAAATGAAATAAAAAAAAGAAGATATGATAACGTTTGGTTTTATTGAAAACATTACCTTTAATACAGTTCAATGGCAGAACACAATTTGTGTAACCAACCCCAAAAATATTGTGACAAGACTTTCTTGAGTTGAGTTGAAACAAACCCCCCCCCCCCCCCCCCCCCCAAAAAAAAAAAAAAAAACCTAGGTGCTGGTCTTACTCTATTGGAAAGTCCAGCTTGTCCTCATACCTGGTATTGTTGATGGATATTTTTTGGGGACAAAATTATGGCAATGTGGATTTTCTTCATTAGTTTCATCCAAGAGATTGTAAGGATTGCATTGTAGTTGTAGAATTCGATGAGGTGGACCTATAATGCAGCCCTAGGGTTTATTGGAGAACTTTATGACTATAGTCTGAAACCAACAATTCCTCCCCAAGAGGAATTGCAGAATTTTTGAAGGGAAGGAAGAGGAGAGAGGAGTTGTTATGGGATAGAGTGAAGTTTTTGGCTTCTCTTTCGGCTGTGATAGTTTCAGGAAACTCCATCGGTTCTTCAACACAATTGAAAAGCTTCTTCTTTTTGAGAATGATAAGAAGAGCAAAATCAAGAAATAAGAGAGCATAAGATGAAGTCAAAATAGGAAATTTAGAACTGAGAGGAGAAGAGTACTAAGAGAGAGAGCATAGCCAGGAAAAGATGTGTGGGAGAAGAAGTCCCAGCACCAATTCACTCAAAGAGTCCAATGCTTCCTGTTTGACCTATGGGGTATTGCAACTGAAGTTACTGAACTAACATGAATTTAAGCTTTTGATGGGTGTCAGAAGCTATTGGATGATATGATAGCTACAGCCATTCTCAACTTTCAAGAATGCAGGCCTTCTGTTGTGAGTTGAGAATATATCCATTGGTAGAGTTTCCATATGTCTTTAGTAATGGCGTTGCTTGGAATATGAAATTACTTTTGTCAAAGAATGTGCTTGGACATCCAAAGGCTCTGTATTTCCACTTCAATGTTGTTAGGCATTTCTAGGTGGACAGCCCAAGTTGTTGTTTGTGTTTTTGTTTCTAGAATTCCCACTCCGTGAACCTTGATGATATGACTATATGGTTGCCCTTGCTCATGAATGTATATGATGATCTGTATGAATCATACAAACTGTTATTGGTATCTTGTTGCCTCTTTTGCTGCTTATTTTTCTTTCCATGTGGTTTTGGATGTGCTTCCTGACCCAGACCTAGCATTTTCAACAGGCCAGACTCATTTACCACCACCAACTATATAGTGTCCTTGTATGGATGATTNACTAACTTTTGAGGGGTTTAGTGTATAAATTGATATGACAATAAAGTTATATTTAATTTATCTCATAGTACCCCTTAAAATTTTTGAAAATTTAAATAGTGGCCCTAGTCTTTTTTGTCTTTAGTAAGTTAGTGGTTCACTTGTTCTCCTTATCTATTAAAACAACTACTTTTTTTTATTAAAATAAGTAGTAAAAAGGATGTGTGATTCTTTAATTCATTATATATATTAGCCAAATACAATATCTCTCTTATTTAATACAATTTCTCATATTTTTAATATTATTGTATAATAATATACGAATAGATGCAAATGATAAGTTATGCACATTTATGCCCAAAATATCAATTTCTCAACAAGATTTAATAATTACTTACAAATTTATCATATAATTGATTAATTATAGATATTCTTGAGATTTAAAACAACATAACTCTTCTAAAAATATTAATTTCTGAACAAAGTTAAAAGGAAATTGTTTAAAAATTTACAGTAGAATTGGTTAGTTATAGACAATTTTTGAGATTTTAAACAATATCTTTGTGTTTCTCTTAAATATATGATTGAGTTGAAATTAGTCACTAAAAAAATTATTGTTCTTGTTTGTTCATATTTTGTTAAATGCTGAATTGATTTATTTTATATAAATTATGTTAATATGTTGCTCATAGTTGAACTTAAAAAAAAAAATTCTGCAAAATTTATTAATCCTTATTATTGGAGGTGAAGGAGAATTTTTTATACCAATTGATTAATTTTTTTCATTTATATTTTTGCCCCCACTAGAACAAAATCCTGGCTCCGTCACTGTATACACACACACACACTAAGGGTAACTCGTGCCTACAATGTGAATGATTTTGAAATGGATTTTGGTGAACGTTGAATAAGTTTATTTGAAACCGTCAAATCAACTTATTGAAGTCTGTCATATTATATATATACATATATACACACACACAAACAATCTAAATAATATAACCTTTCTAATACAAGAATCAATCAAGTTCAACTGCTCACCTTGCAACCAGTCCCCATCTCTGCTCGTTTTGGAAAATAGCGAGGTTGATATGTCTCTCTCTTTTCTACAAAAATAAAGGATGGAACACAAACAGACATTAAAATCGCCTTATCTAATACTTGTCTTATTGGAATAGTGTGGTTCACTAATTTTTTTTTTTTAATAATTAGTTGATGACAATACGTAGCATTAATGACATGATATTACCGTTGCACACAACATTTACTCCCGGAGAAGAGAGGGGTGGCTGCTACGTGGATTATGATTGTCACGTGATATTACCATCTAATAACAAATTTACAAATGGACATGAAGTCTAGTTCTTTGATTATTTTTTTTTACATAAATTTACCAACCATTGAACTAAATAAGATCTAAAGACCAAAAATAAAATAAAATCTTATTTACCCAAAAAAACACTTAATAATATCCATTTGTTTATATATTATTTTATTATTAATTAATTATACTATAATAATAAGATGGCGTTACCATTACATTTAATATTTTCTCGAAAAAGAGAGGAGTTGCGAGAGAGAAGAGAGATGTGAGTGCAACTAGAGTGTGTTTGGTGGGTTAAGAGATTAATTTGGATTTAATCAGTTATAAAAACTCTAATCTGAGAATAATTTGAGTGTCAACTCAACGTAATTATTAATGATGTTCAAATTTTTATACAACGGTTGAAATCAAGTTTAGTTTTTGGGTGAAAATTCAAGTTTAACTTTTTCTTGAAGTTAGAATTTACTAATTGGGATTGAGATCGAGTTGGGTCTTGAAAACCAGAATCCTCAACTTGAGAATTGTAAGATTTAAAACGTATTCGTATTTGTATTTTTTGTCCAAGTTCTTGTCTATTGAAAGAGTAATGCTAAAGAGACCTTATTTTGTGACTTGAAAGAGTGACCTGATGACGTGGTTGCTGATGTAGTCTACATGCCACGTCATTAGTTTCTTTTCCCACCAAAAATCAGATTTAACAAAGCTGCAGCGTCCCGGGGAGGAAGGACTTCGTCGGCGTCAATGTGTGTTCGCCTGTTCGGTGGTGAGATTAGGTGTGCAAGACGAAGGGGAGGGGAGAAGTTAGGGCTTGGGTCTTCTATCGAGGGAGAGACAAAAACACCCGCTTTGATAAATATGATTTTTTGAAAAAAAATTTTTAGAGAAGTAGGTGAAAAAAGGAGTTGATGACATGCAATATACACATTAGCAGCCACATCATTAGGTCACTTTTTTGTCACAAAATAAGGTCCTATAGCATTGCTCAATTGAAAATATCTACCAAAATACTTAGTTTTGTGGATTGGGTTTTGGTTGAAACCACCCGGATTGAATCCCTAAGTCTTAGACCATCTCTAAACCCTTACTCAAATTTGAGTAAAAAAAAGGTACAAAGTTTAATTTGGTATAAACTTTTTCAATGGAGAAACCCAAATTTAAATGAAGGGAAACTTTTTTTTTTTTAAATGAGGACAAATCTAAATTTAAAAGAGAATAAATATGATCATCGGTTCTTTGAATGAAGTTGTAATCTCAACATTGGTAAAAAGAGTAAAAATTTGAGTTTTTTTTAATTTGAGTTTAAAAAAGAGTTTCTCTTCATTTGTATTGGAAAAAGTTTTTAAGAGTTTTTTATTTATTTAAAAAAAAAAATACAAAAAAGAGTAAGGACAAGAGATACTCTTACCATCCCAACCTATTTCATTCATGAGATTTAATATTGAGCAAATCTATAAGGACTTAATTCAGAGATTTAAAGATGAATCTAGTTCAATGTAATTATTGAATTAATTGTGAATTTTAAAATTAGACGGAATTCAAATTTAATCCAACAATTATAATTAATTAAATTTTCAATTAAAATTTTTAAATTAAGTTCAAATAGCAATCTCTTTTCATGCTTATATTGCATGGCTGCAGCTAAACGAGATAATTGATCCCGAACAAAGAAAAGCTCGAAAGGACAGAGACAAGTGCATTAATGGAGGGGTTTCAATGTACACACAGTACATCAAATAGTTTACATGAAAATCAACTCTCACACCTTTTTACTACTTCAACAGCTCCTCACCACAGTTTTACGGGAACGCCATTTTACATCACTTCTCGTGTCTCTCTCTTCCACCCATTGCTCAGACAATATCCTCTCGAGCTCACTCGGTCTGCAAGGAATTGTCAACGCACCCTCGTGATCGAACCCATACTCTTCTGCTGCTTGCTCCAAGAGTATTAAGAACGATGGGTGAGTCAGGCAACTCAGTGGAACGACGAATCTCTTGAACTCGTCGTCGTCCATGGCAATCACGGCGAAGTGTCCTTCCTTGACGTCGTCTGGCACATTGTTTGTGTCACAAACTTCCTCAAAATCTTTATAATGGGAAGATGATGATTTCTTCCGTAGGATGAGACTTTTGTGTAGCTTCTCTACAACTATCTTAAGCTTGACAATGCCAGTCTTTTTGTTGGTGGTTGTTCTAAGCTTAGACATTGTCTTTCTTTCTTTACATGTCTTACAACCATGTTAGCTTGCATATATATAGTGTAGAGGGTTGATAGAGAGATAAGATCTGGACGGCTCTGTGTGTGTGAGAGAGAGAGAGAGAGAGAAAAGACGTGGTTGGACTGACCAAGGTGTAAATGGGAGACCAGTGCATGTGCATGAAGTTCCATAACAATTGCGTAACGTCCTTTCTAACTGGGTCACGTCTGCTTTCCAATTATTAATTGGTACGTGGGGTTGATTTGTTTAACAAGAAAATATTAAAAAATAAAAAATTTTACGTGCGTTTATTTAGCATGTAATAGAAAATAATAAAAAAAATAATTTTCTCTCATGTTTAAATTTTCTCACATCTAACTAATTTTTTTTCTTGCAAAAAACACAAAAAAGAGCATAAAAGTTGTATTCAATAACTTAACTTTCCATTGTACTCTTATTTTTCTTAAAATATTCAATTAGTTCTTAATTTTACAAATCATGCTAACCAAATACATGCATGAAAATATATTTTCTTTCACTTCACTTTCTACCTTTTTCACTTTCCATCATCTTTTTCTTGCTAACCAAACGGACTACTAGGGAACTTTAACGATATTTTCAGTTATATTAATGCTGAAAATTATAATTTTTTTGAGATATGAGCTACAATTATGAAGGATATGATTGATCCTGAAATGTCAGGATTTATACCACGTTTTTTGTGATTGATCATGACTTTTCTTTAGCAGTTATAATTTTTCTTCTCAAAATTGTAACTTTATTATATAAATTAGTAATCGACAATATTTGTACCAAATTTTTGTTTGGGTACTGTAGTGTTTCCCTTATCTCTATGGTCTTATTTTATGAGAGAATATTTAATACAATGATGATATCATGTCAGCATTGATGACATGATATCACCAACCTATTAAAAATATCAAATAGGATAAAATAAATTTTATTTGTGTAGTTATTAACTTACATAGAAGAAAAGTGAGTAGTTATGTGTTTACATAAATCAGTAGTTATTTGCATGAGTGAGGTCCTCTTCATTATTTGTCTGTATATTATTGTTTGTTGACCACGTGACAATGTTGACGTGGTATTACCGTTACCATGAATATTTGTTCTTGTTTTACGATATATATGTAGTAACTAAATTACTAAGAGAGCTACGTAGACAAAAAGATGAGAATACACCCTTGTACATATTTAAAAACGTGGAGTTGATTATGGTATCGAAAAAAAAAATCGGGATCATACCTCAATTTATCATATTTGTAGTTATTTTTATCATATTTGTTGGTGTTTTTATCACTATTGTGGTACCCCAACAATGATAAAATAGATACTATAGTAATGATAAAAATATCCACAAATATGATAAAAATACCTATAAATGTGGTAAATTACCAACAAAAGTGGTAATTTTTTTTGTTTTGTAAAAAAATAATAAAAATAGTTATCACAGATATGGTAAAACACTCATAATAGTGATAAATTACCTACAAAAATGATAAAAAAATCTTTAGTAAAATGACTTATAAAAGTTAGGGTCAATTGCGGCTATGGTCCCCAAAGTATGTATTTTGTCTCATTTTGGTCCACAACGTTCTAATTGCATCAAGTTGATCCCTCATGTATTACATGTGCACTTACTAGTCCCTGCCGTTAATGCCATCCACAATTCTCACAGTTTATAGCCATGTGTCATTCGCGTGACCACATGTGAGGGGCTTATATGACATTTAACCCTCCTCCTATTCCTGTTAGTCAAACTGATCAGGAGATTCTTCAATGTCTTCACTTGTTCTGCAAGGTGTTTGATTTCATTTATGGCAAAACACGATTAAGGCAAAATAGAACACCATTAGGGCACAGCAGAACACCATAATCAATATGCAGATGAAGACATTCCCCATTATGGTATGTACTCATTCTTATAGATTTTTGAGTCTAAGGTTCATAGGTAAGCCTGATTTTTAAAATTTGGTATTCGATATTATATAGTTTATGTGTTTGTTCGAAACCATTTGTTTATGCATTGAAACTCTTTTTTATTAGTTGATGTGGTCCTTGAAAACCAATTGTTTATTTTAGGTTTTTTTGACAATATTTGTAAAAGACCGGATTCTTCACTTTTCTCAATGGAGATTCACCGCAGTGATGAATTTAGGGAGAAGCCAAACAAGGTTTACGTTGGAGGACAAATGGATCACATAGATGACTGTGATGTTGACTTGATGTTGCTTATTGAAATGGATGATATGGCCTCTATTCTTGGATATGCTCCATACATTGGATATTATTACAGAATTCTTGGTATGGATTTGCACAAAGGGATAGTACATATGATTAGTGATGAAAAGGTTTTGGATATAGAATATAATTTGAATCAAAATAGGATAGCTCAGGTATATTTTCATCATGTAGATGGTATTAAGTTAATGGAGAATCATCACGTTGATGGTGATGTCTCAGTTGATAAAGGGAAAATGGTAGCATCAGAGTGTGATGAATTAGACAGTGAATACCAACCTAACTCTGAATCTAGTGAGTATGATCTGTTGGTTGATAGTGATTTTGAAAGTGAGTATGATAACTTGTTGTATGATAGTTATGTTGACAAGGAAGTTGAATTGGCTGGCTTGAAGAGTAATAGGCAGAAAGAAACAACAACAGACAAAAAATAGTAGTTAGAACTTAGTGATACAAATGGTGATTCTGAGGAGATTTTAAGCAGCTTCAGTTCATTTGATGGAGAGAATCATGCCAGAAAACATAAAAAATTTGAAGTATTTAGGGCAAAAAAGGATTAGGAAGACCCACATTTTAAATTGGATATGTTATTTAGTACATCTGAGGAGATCAAGAATGTCATTAGACAACATGCTATAAAACATTAGAGAAAAATGATAAGAGGAGGGTGAGGGCATAATGTGAAGGGGCTACAGTTGGCTAGTTTATGCTTGTAAAGTGCATGGTGAGAAAACATACCAAATAAAGACATGCATTGGTAAGCATGCAAGTGGGAAAACTTCTAGTAACAGAAATGTGAACTCAAAGATGATAGCATTGAAGTATATGGATGAACTAAGGGTCAATCCTTATTGGCCTATAAAGGCTCTTGAAAAGAGGGTTATGAGAGATTTTCATGTTAATGTATCAAAGAATCAATTATACAGAGCAAATAAAAGGGCAATGTTGTTGATACATGGTGATGAAATTGAACAATATGGTAGATTGTGGGATTACTGTGAGGAACTAAGGAGGTCTACCCCTGGTTCCACAATTATCTTGGATGGACCTGTTGACGAGGAAAATGATGAACTTATATTTCAGAGGTTTTATATTTGCTTTGCAGCATGTAAAAGTGAATTTCTTCAAGGGTGCAGGAAAGTGATTAGATTAGATGGTTGCCAACTGAAAGGTGCATATAGTGGACAATTGTTGGCTGTTATTGGTATTGATACCAATGATTCTATGTTTCCCATTGCCTATTGTATTGTTGAGATTGAGATGAAAGAATCATGAGCATGATTCTTAACAGTATTATGCACTGACTTAGGCATAACTGATCAAAAATATCAGTAGTGGACCTTTATCATTGATAGGTAGAAGGTATGTTTTAATCAAAACCATCAGTAGTGGTTCTTAACAGTTTATATTAACATGTTTGCTGCAAGTATAATTATTGTATATTCTATGCAAGGTTCGCTTCCAGCATTGATTGAGAGAGTACCAACATTTGAGCACAGGCATTGTGCTAGGCGCCTTCTAAACAATTTCATTAGACACTTTAAAGGATTGAGTATTAGGAAGAAATTCTGGAAATGTGCTAGGGCAACACATATTTTAGAATTTGACTACAAAATGCAAATGGTGAAAGAAGAAGATGAGAAGGCATTTGATTGGTTGACCAATGAGCCACCAAGGTATTGGAGTAGGTCACACTTTAGAGTAAAAAATAAGTGTGATATTTTGTTAAACAATCTATGTGAGAGCTTTAATGGGGCAATTATAGAGGTAAGCGATAAACCCATCTTAGAAATGCTAGAATGGATTAGATGCTACTTAACTCAAAGAATATTGAAGAGGAGAGAATGGGTTAGGAATTATAGTGGTGATATATGCCTTAAGATTTAAAAAATATTAGAGAAATGGAAAAGTGATAGCTTTGATTGTATTGCTGAGTAGCATGGTAAGTTGAAGTTTGTGGTAAAAATGGGCAAAACAGGAGGACTTGTATTGTTACACTACCAGAAGGAAACCAAGCTGAAGGGAGCCAAGTTGGAGGAAGTTGGATGGAGCCAAGTTGCTGTGAGCCAAGTTGGAGGGAGCCAAATTGCTATTAGCCAACCTGGAGGTAGTCAAACTGCTGTTATCCAAGGTGGAGGGAGCCAAGCTACTGTGAGCCAAGCTGGAGGGAGCCAAGTTGTTATGAAATGAAGGTCTTACTTTGAACAGGTAATTGCTGCTAAGTAATTTTAGGCAATCCATTGAAGTGCTTTTTCATGATCTTTTTGGCTCATATCTTACCTTTTTCTCTATGTAGCTTAAGGTTCAACCATTGGTTCACCATCAACTACTAGCAATGTCCATGTCATTCGTACTCGAAGGGTTACAATACCATTCAGGAGGAGCAAATCAACAATCACCCATAACTGATCTGCAGCTTTTCTCTCATTTTTTTTTTTTTGGAGCCAAGCTTATATGCAATGTAAATGTGTTGCTCTCTTTTGGGTTTGTAATGAGAGTGTAAATCTGGCTTATAACTTTTTATGTACTCTTTGTTACTCTCATTTTGGGGTTGTACTGAGTGACCAACATGTAAGTATGGACATTTTTTTATGCTAACAGGTTGTTACATTAATGAAAATCAACATTATGGACATCTTTTTTTGATGCAAACAAGTTGTTACATTATTGAAAATTAACATTATGGACAGGTTGTTTTGATGCAAACAGGTTGTTACACTTCTAATTACATCAAACATAACAGTTACATTTACAGGAAATGACACTTTCACAACAAAACAACAGAGCACCTCCTACACAACAAAAACAGAACACTCTCCACAAAAAAATAGTGCACTACTACACAACAAAAATAAGGCACCCTCTTACACAAAAACAAAGCTCCCTCCACAGAAAAACAGGGCACTCCTTCTTATAGTAAATACCACACCCAAGTGAAAATAAAAAATGTCCAAGAGCAGAACATAGCAACCTATAATATTTTTTTGCTAGCTTTTGTTTTTTGTTGTTGGTTCTCGTGTCTTCGCATTGATCACAGCAATCTGGGTATCACGTGCTTTGCTCTATCGCACATTGGCGGATCACACCAAACAAAAAATCCACACCCTCCAGCCTCCTACAAATGCAACATTTTGTTAAATGAATTCAAAATCGAAAACTCAGTCATAGTAAAACTTAAAAAACAAAATCCAAAACATCCTTCCTGGGTTGGTATTGGTCCATGAGGTCCACATTTTGCCTATTTATCTATAGTAGCATGGTGTTGCCTCCATTCCAGCCACAATTGATCCCTTTCCTTCCCTTCTCCTCCCCTCATTGTCTCTTTCTCTTCTCATATGCTCTGTAACAGACAAACAGTTATAGGGATATAACCCATAACTGTTGGCAAGAATGTTTCCCTCCAGGAATGGCAGGAGGGTTAAATATCATATAAGCCCTTCACCTGTGGTCTCGCGGATGGCACATGGCTATAAACTATGAGAATTGTGGATGGCATTAACGGTGGGGACTAGTTAAGTGCACATGTAATACATGAGAGACCAACTTGATGCAATTAAAACGTTGGGGACCAAAATTAGACAAAATGTATAATTTGGAGACTATAACTGCAATTAACCTTAAAAGTAATAAAAATATCCATTAAATTAAAATAAATAAAAAATTAAAGATGCGGTATGGAATTTTTTTCTTCCATATTATAGTCAAGTACTAGACAAAAAGATGAGAATACACGTTTGTACTAATTCAAAAATGTTGTTTAAGGATTTTTGACCTTTTCATGTGAGATCATGGGATCCAAAGGCATTGGTCACTTCAAGATTAACGTTTTGAGTCACATTGAGGTAAGTCTGGTACTTATTGTAATTTGGGAGGTATGTTTGCTGGTATATTTTGAGTAATAGAATTGGTATGCATCTCGAGAGGTCAACAAAAGTGGGTGCTTCATTTGGTGTGCAAGCTTCTGTTGTTTTGTAAACAAAACAATGTCGTTTTAACGAACACCACCTTTGTAATAACGGTTTTGGCTCGACAAAACTTTGATAATTGCTTTATTGAACCTGCAAGGTCTGAGTTCTGCTGAATCAATAGGAAAATTTGCTGATGATGCTGATAAGTTTTTCCTGATGTGGAGCCAGAGTACTATGTGGCAAAATGGTTCATAATTTTGTGAATGTATCCTTTTTTGAACTGAGAATAGCAGGTGTTCTAGGAAATTCTTAATGATTTTATGAATGTGTTGTACGATGGACAATCAAGAACTAAAACAATACGAAATTTATGTGGTTTGGAAAGTCCATCATTTTTTGATTGGGTGTCTATTTTGCACACTCATTGGCGCATTGCCTTTCAGACCTAGTAAATACGAAACATTCACTATTTTCAACACTTAGATATATCTCATTGCTCCTCTCATTTGTGTTGACAGGGTTGTGGTGTGTTGTAATTTGCTAGGGAATACTTTCTAAGGAAATTCTACTCTACCAAAAAAAAAAATTTAGTCACTATTTTTTATGATCAAATTAAAATTTTGAAAGGAAAAGTTATTATTACCTAAGGAAAGATTATTATCAATTATAGGCACCCACGATCAATTATGAATTTTCAGTATTAATCACAATATTTTATTATTGATTATATCTTTTAAAATTATAATTTTTATTAAAAAATTTATAATTTAATCTTAAAAAATTATAATTTTTAATATAATATGGCCGACAATATTGTAGAGTTAGCTTTTTGAGGAAAAAAAGTACATGGACAGCTAGCTAGGAAGTACAGGTGGGGCAACAATGCTTGTACCTTTTGCAGTGATGTAAATGCCTCAATGATCTACTCTAATTATCTTATTGGTTTTTCTAAACTTCATTAAAACAAAAATCGTCTAAAGTAATGCTATGAGTTTTACGTGGGGAGGAGGTGTCCATGGCCTGGCTTAGGTTATACTTGTCAAAAAAAATTTCAGCTGGATTTGAATAATGTAGACTTAAGTTTTTACCTAAGTGAGTTACGAGCTGGCCGAGTAATGATAAACTATCCGCGCGCCTATTGGACGGGCCTACTTGCTAGTTTTTTTATAGAAGTTTAGGGAGGCCGCCACCTCCCTAAAAACTTAATAGGATAAAAATATATTTTTTAAAATTATTGAGATAGAAGTACATCTACTAAAAAAAAGTCATAAATGTCCTTTTACCCTTATTATAAATAGTGTATACTTAATTGAATGTGAGATTTTCAAGATTAAAATGTGAGAATTTTAAGATTCTTTTTGATATTTATGTATCATTTGAATTTTAAAATTTCAATATATAAATACACACACACGTATATAAAATTTCAATGTATGTATATATACAGTAACATATATATTTGCCCACTCAAAGAGTTGTACCTAAAGAGGGACTCGAAAATTGTCATGCAAATAGTATCACCAAAAAGAGACACGAGATAATGACAATGGAGGTCTAATCATTGACATCATGTAATGCCCCCTTGATAATGTACAAGTAGTGTCAGTAAAGAGTGACAATAATAAATTGACCATAAATGATGATAATATATATTTGTCCACTCAAAGAATTGCACCTAAAGAGTGATTCGAAAAATTGTCATGCAAACAGTGTTATCAAAGAGAGACACGAGATAATGACAATGGGGGTTCAATCAATGGCATCATGTAATGCCCCCCTGATAGTGCCCAAGTAATGTCAATAAAGAGTGGTAACAATAGATTGACCCTAAATGATGACAATATATATATGTCCACTCAAAGAGTTACACCTAAAGAAGGACTCAAAAAATCGTCATGTGAATAATGTCACCAAAGAGAGACACGAGATATTGACAATGGAGGTCTAATCAATGGCATCATGTAATGCTCCCTTAATAGTGCCCAAGTAATGTCAGTAAAGAGTGATAACAATAGATTGACCATAAATGATGACAATATATATTTGTCCACTCAAAAAATTGCACCTAAAGAGAAACTCGAAATATTGTCATGAAAACAGTGTCACTAAAGAGACACACGAGATAATGACAATGGAGGTCCAATCAATGGCGTCATGTAATGCCCCCTTAATAGTGCCCAAGTAGTGTCAGTAAAGAGTGACAACAATAAATTGACCCTAAATAATGAGAATATATATTTGTCTACTCAAATAGTTGCACCTAAAGAAGGACTCGAAAAATTGTCATGCAAACAATGTCACCAAAGAGAAACACGAGATATTGACAATGGGGTTCCAATCAATTACATCATGTAATGTTCCCTTAATAGTGCCCAAGTAATGTCAGTAAAGAGTGACAGCAATAGATTGACCATAAATGATGACAATATATATTTGTCCACTCAAAGAGTTGCACTTAAAGAGAAACTCGAAAAATTGTCATACAAACAGTATCACCAAAGAGAGACACGAGGTATTGACAATGGGGGTCCAATCAATGGCATCATATAATGCCCCTTTGATAATGCCCAAGTAATGTCAGTAAAGAGTGATAACTAAACTATTGTTTGATGTTACTATTTTTTTGTTTAGCGTGTTACTGTTTGATGTTACTATTTTTTTATTGAACGTGTTATTATTTGATATTACTATATATGTGTGTGTGTAACACACACACACACGCATATATATATATATATATATATATATATATATATATATATATATATNTTTTATTGGGCATGTTACTGTTTGATGTTACTATTTTTTTGTTTAGCGTGTTACTGTTTGATGTTACTGTTTTTTTATTGGGCATGTTACTGTTTGATATATGTGTGTGTGTGTGTGTGTATGTGTGTGTGTATATATATATGAAATTTTAGAATTCAAATGATACACAAATATTAAAAGAAATATTGAAAGTCTCACATTCTAATATTTAGATGTTGGAAATATAAAAGTTATCAATTGAGTATCCACTATTTATGATAAGGGGTAATTATGAAATATATTTTAGAAAGAATTTTAAAATGTTTTAAAATGTACATTTATTGACAACNGGAATATATTTTAGAAAGAATTTGAAAATGTTTTAAAATGTGTACTTATTGACAACTATTTGATGAAAAAAAGGACTTAAAAGAGGATAAGTTTGAAGGTGGTATTTAAAGTCAAATAAGTTTTGAAAATGATACTCACATCCTATTATTTCTTTTTTATATACAACTTCATTTAAAAAAAATA